CAGACCTTGCAACACTCTGACCAGATTTCACCCTATCCTAAACCAGAAGAGGGTTGTTATGGCTTGTATCTAGATGTCCCCCCAAAGCCTCATGGAATCATAAGTGAGGCTTTTGGGAGATGACTGGATAATGGGTGTGTGATACTGGATTAGTCCACTGACTTGTTTAGCATAATTCTCAGTGTGGGCAATGGATTTACTGAAGAGGGAAGACCCACCCTGGGTGTATGTAGCACCAACCTATAGTCTTGTATCCTGGATGGAATAAAAAGGAAAGCAGAAGGAAGGCTGCAGCTTCCTACCTGCCAAACCATGAGCTGTTTCTCCTCTGCCATGCAGCCCTGCCCTGGAGCCAGCCAACTATGGATTGAAACTTCTACAAACTGTGAGCCAAAATAAACCTTTCTCCTTTAACTTGCGGATGTCAAGTATTTTCTCCCAGTAACCAGAAAGTAACTAAGACAAAAGTAAAGTGTAGAGGGCTTTGAAAATCCATATTTCATCTGCTTCTATCCCACCCGTCATTTACATAATCTCATCTAAAAATCTTTCACCTAAAAGCTACATCTCTGCCATCTCTTCCTCCTCTCTATACTACTTGCATAGCAACCTCATGAACACTGATCCTCATGACAATAAAAAGTAAAATGGTGATGATCCCCATTTCACAGGTGAGAAAACTGAAATTTGGACAAGGCCATATGACTAAGTGAAAGAAGATTGGTAAGTAGGAAAAAATAATTGACTGGAAACTCAAGAGATTTGAGTCCTTTCTTTGTCACTAACCCACGTAGGTGACTTTTTTCTCTTATTTCTTCACCTAAGAAGCTATGTTCGATAGAGGTCCTTCCAATTTTTCACTATAAAATTATAAAATCTCTCCATTCCTTTCCAGATTTCCCACCCAAAGAGCTTCTTAACTCTGATTACCAGGCCAAGAGCCAGAACAACTCAATTGGAATAGAAGCCAGGTATCATCATTTTGTGACTCTCCCAGGAGATTCCAGTATACATCCAAGGTTGAGGCTCAATGGGCTAGAAGTCTTGGAGGTACAGACAGGAGGGCTGCCTTGCCCTGCCCCTTCCTTCTTACCCTCCATCTCCAGCCACCCAGTTACCTCCTCCCCATCATAGAGCTGCAGTCAGGCTACATTCCTTAACTGTTTTCCACACCTTCACTGTCCAGCCTTTGTTGACAGCACTAATGGACTCCACAGATTAAACAGTCATGGTGATCTATCGTGATCTTAAGCTGTCCTAGGACTGTCTTGTCAGACAACAGCAAAAGCTGCCCTGCTCCTGGTCTTAATGAAGTCATTTACTGTAAATAGCCTCCATTCCCTCCAGTACCCATGCCAATAGCCAAATGGAGGTGAATAACGGCTGCCTCTAATGGGATGTGGGAGCAGAAATGATCTGTTCAAATAGAGTGTTCGTCCCGACAACTGCTGAATTAAGTCAGAGACACTTAGGGCTTCAAATTCTTCTTGTAAACTAGCCCTCCTCATGGAACCACAGCCAGGAGTCCTTCAGAAACAAGGCTGCAAGCTCCACGGTGAGATTTTTCAATTAGGAAGGGCCCCAAGGGAGTTGATGGAGAGCCTGCCTCTTTCAGGCTCACTTCCTACAGCACTCTTCCTACTTAGCACCCTTTCACTCCACTCTCTCCATTCTCACCCCTGTTCTGCCTTCATTTGCCAATAAATTCCTCAGAGCATTATTTCTACTCAGTTTGAGAGACAAATCCTTTCTCTTGGAGTTTCTTCCAAGAGGCTCAGGTTTCTTCCACCAGCATGGAAAGGAGCAGACAGTAAGATGCCTGCTATCTGCTTATACTGCTGCTTTCCCAGGATCCAGGACTTTGAGTGAAAAGGGGAGAAATCCACCAGGGAACAATTTCCACATGAACCACACTTTTCCACTTAGATGAATGTTGCAAGTCATTTATTTATGCATTGTTAATTTGCTTATCCAATAAAAGTATTTGTTTTTTAACCATAAACAAGGTGAATACTATGTCCTTCTACAAGCTATGTACAGCCCTGCAGCAGAGGTGAACAGGTAGACATGGCAAGACACCAAATCTGCAGCTCAGAGGCCACAGAGTTATCACTATCCCTTTACCCAATATGTTCATAGCCACTGGAGACTACATCATTGAAGTATCCATGGAGAATGCTTCTGGGAGGAAAGAGAATTGGATCCCACTCATTCCTCTCTTGAGGTCTAAAAATACATTGGATGGACTGGGACTGTCCCAGTTAAGGCTAGAAAGCAAAATAAAGCCACAGCAAGGAGAAAGGTATGTGGAAACCCAAAAGTGGGCTGGGCTTCAGGGAGTTGGCGATCAAGAAGAAATACTTCTTGTAGGGATAGTGTGCTGCTGGAAAAGGGAAAATGGCAAATTAGCAACATTTGTGCACATGGGGGAAATCAAGGAGGGCATGTTATATGAGTACCTTAAGAACTGAGTCTCAGAGCAGAAAATCTCTTCCTTGTACTTGGGAACAAGATATTGGCTGCCCACTGCCCAGAAATGTGAGTTACAAACAGGCCCACCCTCCACCCACCTCACAGTGTAGAAGGAGAATGTGATAAAGCTCCCATGAGAAACATTCCTCACTTCCACTCTGAGGGTGAGAACCACAACCATGGTGTATTACTTTAAAATCATGTTTGGGGAATGCACCATATTCATCAACTATGTTGTCATCAAAAAAAGGGTAAGAATCATGGGTCTAGACGATCGAGTGCACTTAGTATGGTATAGAAAATTCTCACAACTTAATTTTTTTTCCATTTTCCCACCACAGCTGAGTTGTAGTTGCCACAACCCATTTGTAAGCTACCTTTTAGCTTCTTTTCCAGCCTCTAGCCAGCATTCTCCACAACATACATTTTGTTTAAGAGCTATATAGTTTGGGTGAAATTGGTAGCCCCTCTCCCCCAGTGGTAAGGATAGGTGTGATAAATGTCAAATGATCACACATCTTTACAGATCTTCCCAACAAAATGTGCCAATATATGATATGGCAGAAATCATATCACATGAGTCCCAAGTTGAGACATCAGGGCTTATAACATCTGCTCTCACCCTCATGGAACATTATGCTCATGTTAACAAGCCCAATCCCAAGCTGTCTTGCTGGAGAGAACACAGAGAAAATAACTAAAGCATACCAATCATCAGATAGATAATTGATACCATCCAGGTCCTACCAGCCCCTAAAAGACTGACCAAGTGACCCTAAATGTATGAGTGATCCCAGCCAACACTACACAGAAGAGGCAGAGCCATTCTGGCTGAGCCCTGCCCAGATTCCTGACCCAGAGAATCACGAGCAAATAAATCACTGTGGCTTTTGAGCCACTAAATGTTGGGCTATTTTGTTATATAGCTAATGTTAATGGAACAGTGGGCTAAGCCAGTCAGGGTAAATCCTTCCCTTCTGCTACATTTGGTCAATAACATGGACTAAGCTAATCACTACATGCAGAGATTAGTTCAGGAAAGGCCCAGACGGTGAGAGCCACAAGAACTTGGCTGGGAATTCCAAGTCAAAGCTATTCTTCCCTACTCTGGTTGGCACAGTATGAAATGAAGTGTGGAACTAGGCCAGCCATTTTGTTACTGAAACAACCAGTCTGAGGAAGAAACCAGTACATGAGGACACTACAGAATACTGCGGAGAAATGGAGTCAGAGGCCTCTGTCACATCTCACAGAAACTCACAGCACCTCTAGACTTTTGTAACCATAAATCTCCTAAGTCATTTCAGCCATTTGATCTAGGCTTTGGGTTATTTGCAAAAGAAAACAAACAACTGAGAGACTCTAAAGCTCTAACTGTTGTTTTCATGTTCTTTTTACCAACAAACCTGGTTTTTCAAACAAAACCCTTAAATAAAACACAAAATGAGGGACACTATGTTTGAAATAGGAATGTACAGTCCCCAAATCCTAAGCCCTTTCTTAATTTCCTATATTAGTTTTCTACAGTATACTTTTACTCCTCTGCCATTATACATGCCAAACTTTTTCCTAAAGTCTCCCTCATTCTCTTCTCTTAAATTTCACTGCTCAGATTGGATGACACTTACTCTTTCTTCTTCTCCCCCCAAAAGAGAAATAATTTCTCACTCTTCTGTGTCCCACGGGACTTGTTCATATCTCAAGTACCCACTGCTAGCACTTTATTAAATGACCCTGACGGAAAGATCGTCATTTGCACCTATCTTATTGTCTGGCACCTGGTAAATATTCAGTAAATATTGGATGAAACAAAGTTGTGTGCCCTAATGTCTTGTATTAATTGTTAGAGGGTATTATTTATTAAATAAAAAATAAGTTTTCTCACCCATCCCTTCAAAGGATGATGACTTGGCAAAAGACTCAGGATATGAGGTTTTAAGTTTACGACATGAAAATGGTCTTGGGAATAGGTGGGAGGAGGAGCAATTTGAACACTGACTGGAAGTCACCCTTGTCCCAGTCCCCCCCTCCCATTAGTCTTTTCCTTTATGCTAAGAATCTCATTATAAGAATGCCTTGTCATCCAATGCACCATCCTCTAATTGCAGTCTTTTGTGGTTTGTAATTATTTTTTATTTGTGCTTCTCTAATCTTCATAGAAAAGTTGGTATAACTTGAAAAGAATAACAGAATCAAAACTGTAGGGAACAGGGAAAGGGGACATTACTAGAACCTCTGCAGTGAGTCCTAGTCTCCTGTGAGCCACAGCAGCACAAGGTGAATTAACTTATTATACAGAAAAGGTAGAAAAATGAGACTTGGAGAAGAAGCTGAGCTTTGGGCCTGATCAGTGCTGCTCTGGGCGGCAAAGACGAAAGCCCTCAGTTTACCACACCTTTTATTCAGTACATCAGGAGAAACAGATGTAACAAATGACTTGCAGAGAGTTCAGTACATTGGGATAAACAAAGTATAACAATCCAAGAACAATGAGGAACTGAGTAGATGAAGATTTTGTTCCTCCCAGGATGTCTTCAGCTGGTGTAATCTTGTCCTGGAGCATCACAGCATCACCGGATCATTGAGGTCTCAGTTGTGACCGGAGCCCAAAATGGAATTGTCTCAAAATGCATAGCTGGCCTGCAGGCAGGAGAACTAGGCCTAATCAAATGATTTTTCCCTAAAATTATGTAGCATTGCTCCTGACATCAAACTAATAAATATTCAGTTGATATCTGTGAAGCTTCCACTGCGTTTGTGTTGTGTTTGGAGAAGAGAAGGGACAGTATTCAATAGTGCCATATTGCTGTGTGTGGTGGCACAGAGCTGTAGCCCTAGTTGCTCAGGAGGGTGAGGCAGGAACATCACTTGAGCCCAAGAGTTCAATACTGGTTTGGGCAATAAGGGAGGGAGTGGAACCAGTTACCATCAAGACCCTATTAAAAAAAATAAATGTCACATAGGGAGTAATTCTGAAGAGTAAGGCCAACAGGTGATGATGGGCTGGAGAGAAAGAAATGGCGCCCCCACAAAGACCTCTCTGTACTTAAATCAGGCTCTCTTTTTTATTGGCTATCCTTGGTTCATTTGTGCATCATTGTTAATCCAAGTATAAAAAATTAGTTCAACTGGGGCCGGAGATTTAGCTCAGTGGTTCCACCGCCTGCCTCGCAGGCGGAAGGTCCTGAGTTCGATCTCCGGTACCAAAAAAAAAAGAAGAAATTAATCCAACTCTCTCTTGATGTCGAACAGCCTTCCAGTTATCTCGCCTATCCTCTAGCTGACTGAATATCAGCACTATTTTACATGATTGTCACAGTGCATAGCCCAAGGGGCACACAACAGGCAAACACTTATTCATATAAAAAATATTAATAATATCTGTCCCTATAATTGTTGTGAGGATTAAATGATATAACATATTTTAAGTACCTAGTGGGTACTCAATGGATGGTAAATGTTACATTGGTTTATTGTCATCTTTTCTTCATTTCCACCCTGTAATATTTTCATATATCTAAGTCTTTGCCATGAGACTTTTCAGCACCTCCTTCTTGGGCGAGTATATGGCCCTGCCCTGCTTCACTAACAATGAGCACAGCCATATGACGCACTTTGGTCAGTGGAATGTGAGTGGCTATTACCTCTGTCATGTCAGACCAGAGGCTTTACATGTGCTTGAGAGGGTCTTTTGGGTCTTCTTGGCCTTGTGTCGCTTCTGCCCTCTTCTACAGGGACAGCCTGTTCCTTCATCCTGAGTACAGAAATAGAGGTATTTGGAGCATTCTGAACCCAAGCCAAAGTCTGGAGTTCACCCAGGCAAAACAAGTATAGATGAGATCAACCAAACCACAGTTTATCTGCATACTCATCTGAAGGAAACATAAGTGCTGTTGCAAGCCACTGTGATTGTTTTTTATACAGCATTACTGCAGCGTGGCTGACTGATAAAGAAGCTATTGTTGCTGTTGACGTTTCTGCCCCAGTGAATGTTTCAGCCTTCAGACTTCAGACCTCACTGTCCCCAAAGACTGACTCCACTATGGCAAAGTGAAGTTAACTGCAGCCTCCTTCCTTATCCGTACCCCTGGAATACATGTTTCCTCATTAAAGAGGATGAGGATGTCTCTGAAAGTCCACTTAGAGGAGCAAAGAGGTTTCTCCCAGGGGCTCTCAGCAAGTGAATCTTCATGTTCCTTGATCCAATTTAGCATGTTCCTTGATCAGATTTAGCATGATCCTTGATCCAATTTAGCTCGTATGTCTATCCCTTAACCAAAATCTGGGGCCATAGATAGAGTAATAGATAGTCTGAATCACATGTCCTTTTCCAAGTGCCAGGGAGTCAGCCTCAACCAAAGGACTTAGCATAGGCAGGCTTGGCATTCATATTCAAACAAAAATCTGGGTTAACTATCAAAAGAGAGGAAATGGATGTTGGAAAGCCATGGTCTTATGGATTCACTGTGAAGCTTGTTGCCTTCAAAAAGTAAGTGAGATCTGCTGTTTTTAAACAGAGTGTTCTCTAATACAGTCCAAGGAGTCCCTCTCAAGCAGGGTGATTAAGCAGCAGCACTGGGGATAAAGGACACTTCTCCCATAGCTGCAGTCTGGGCCTGGAAAGATCATGGGCCATGGCTTCACATAGCTCTACCACTTACTGAATAATCAAGTGTGTTGCTTAACCTCCCTGCAGGTCTCTAATTCACACATGTAAATTGCAGAGCAATAAAGTCTATTTCACAGTATCTTGAGAGAATTAAAAAACATAAAACATTTAAATTACCTAGCAAAGTGCTAACCACAGGTGTTCATTTTTCCTTTGGTCCTTGTTTAGAGTAGAACCAGAACAAAGCAACTGTAACAGCCTAAGGGATGGGTCTTTACCAGAGAAGATCCTGTTGTCTGTCTATGAGATATGGGTGGGGCTTATTTGGTCCTGGGCCAGGCTGGAAATACGTTAACAAATTTGTAGTCGTCAGCTATCCTTTTCCTGGACTTGGTTGCCACCATTCAGATTCTTCTCTCAGTGTGTTAATTAAAAATAGCACAGTCATCTAAAAGGTCAGTCCTTTCCAGAGACCACACTTTGGCCTCTACAAATGCCTATGCTCAACCATTATATATATGATTACTCATCTTATCCTAAGTTTTTGAAAAAAGTTCACTCTAGTCTCCTAGAAATTGAAGTACTTCGTTGCCTATCCTTCATCTAGAGAGGGTCAAATGAGTTAGTGTGAAATCCTTCAATAAAATAAAAATCACTATTCAGAAAGTGGTAGCATTTATTACATATCCATTCTAGAGAGTTAAGAGCTCACAGATCCAAATCAGGCAAGCCTCTCTGGTCCTAGCATTACACTCCTACAAATGAACCCTGTATCCAAGAGCTGTTGCAAAGGTTATACATGGAGTTCCCATATGCCTTTCATCATAGTCCATTTATCAAAACTAAGTAATTATTATTGACCCAGTGATATTAACTGAGCTAAAGCATTTATTCAGATTTTAGCAGTGTTTCCAATAATATGCTTTCTATTTTCAGGATATCATGTGACATTTTGTTGTCTCAGCTTTAGTTTCCTCTGTTACTTTCACAACTTCTCAGTCTTTCCTAGTTTCTCATGACCTTGACATTTATAAATACACAGATCAAGTATTTTTTAATGTCACCCAATTTGAGTTATCTGATGTTTTCTCATGATTCGGTTGAGGTTATGGATGTTGGAGAACATCCCAAAAGTGAGGTGTCTTTCTCATTGCATCATATAAGGGAGTCTGTGATGTCATCAGTGATATTAAGGATGATCACTTGATTAAACCAGTGTTTGCCAGGTTTACCTGTTACCAAGGATATGCCCTGTCCTATAGTAGCTTCAGTATGGAATGATGAGCACAATAGAAGGGAAGTACATATAGCAAGGGGATTTAACTACCTTGGGGGTCAGAAAAGCCTCCTCCAGGAAGTGCCATTAATCTGAGCCCTAAGGAGGAGAAGAAACCAAAACTTGGGTGCCAGAATTACTGCATGTTTTAATCAGCTTCAACCTCAAAGAACTCAACTAGTATCATGGTTTTGTGATTCATTCCCTAACCCTTTCATTCTTTATCCTTCCCCTGAAGAGGATCCTACCCCAACTCTCTGTAGTATTCCTTCATTAATTCACTCATTCATTTATTTGACAACTTTTATTGAAAAGAGGAAGAAAATTCAGGATATGAAGAGGGCATGATGTGTTCAAAAAACTTAAGGAAAGGGACCGGGATGTAGCTCAGTGGTGCCACACCTGCCTCGCAAGTGCAAGATCCAGAGTTCGATCTCCAGCACACACACACAAAAAAAACTTAAGGAAAGGTATTATGTCTAGAGAGAAGAGAGCAGGAGAAAGACTGACAAGTTCTAACACTGCTTAAAACTTAAGTGAAAGTTTTGGATATTATTCCAAAGGTAACCATGGGTGGCTTTAAATCAATGACTGATTAAACTAGATAACCTAGCGCAGCAGAGAGAATGGACTGGAACACAATAAGTCAGCAGAAGCCTTAATAAGACTTAATCTTTCTCTTGTCTCACAGGATTAGGGTAAGGATTAAACAAGGGGACACATACAAAACCCCATCATTGTACTTGGTATATGACAAATAATCATGATATGTTAGTGTGTTCCTAGCTCAATAATTGATTCATTTTTATTTACCTTCATTTTTCTCTTATTCTCCTGACTCTACTTTAGAAAGAAAATTAACAGTTACACCTTGGCTACAACTAGAATCAATAAGCATGTTAGACACAGTGAACAAATATGAATAAGATCCAAGTCTTTCCTTTTAAGATGCATTTATAGCAAGACACAACATGGTGTGACATGGACTGTGGTAATGACACGAGCCAAATCACTGAGGGGTCAAGAATGGCATCCTAGGGCCGGGGATTTAGCTCAGTGGTTTCGCCGCCTGCTACGCAAGCGCAAGGACCTGAGTTTGATCCCCGGTACCAAAAAAAAAAAAAAGAATGGCATCCTAGGCCAGGGATTTAGCCCAGTGGTTCCACTGCCTGCCCCACAAGCACAATTTGATCCCTGGTACCAAAAAAACAAAACAAAACAAAACAAAACAAAAAAACAGAATTAAAGGCTTTATAAAAAAAAAAGAATGGCATCCTTTGCCTCTCTGCTGTCAATGTCAGGTAAAATATGTGGTACAGAGGAGTTCAGCACATACTTCTTGACTAAGCTGATGCACATTCTGGTTGCTGAGAGAAGGAGCAGGAAATTTGGATGTACTGAAAATTTAGTATCTTGGGATTTTACACAGGGTCACTGAATATTGTAGCTTTCTCTCCATATATGTTGTTGGTTATCATTTGGAGATTATTATTAGTGTGCTTCCTGTTCCATCTTTTCTTTTTCATGACAGTTTCTTCAGAGTGATTGTATAATCATATTTTTAAATCAAAACTTTCCTACCTTAAAACAACATACTAACATGAAAACATCAAATCTGTACTGAGTTGTTTGATTTGATAATACTACATTCCTGATTATGTGTGGTATTTTCATCTGAGTTACAGATAATATGAGGCAAATTTCATTCTCTATTACTGCTTTTTCCCACCACCTACCTGCACCCTGATCACCTATCCTAACCTCTCCCTGACATGTGTTTAGAAAATCAGAGTAAATTTATCCTTAGCCTGAGCAATACACCAGCAAAGTGGTAGGGAAATCCTGTAATGTTGGGTAAAGTAAAAGACTATGGGGTCACACTTACCACTGTTCCTCTCTATTAACATGTGTAGTTGTCCCAGTTGCTATGCTAATATATTGTGTTTCTTAGGTAAGTTGTTAAAAGAGATAAGTAATCATGTCCATGGGAACATTTACAATACTCTGGGAAAGTGAAAGGCCAAAGTTGTTATATTCTTTAATTCATGCCTCGTCAGACTCTTTTTTTGTTTCCCCCTGTACCGGGGATTGAACTCAGGTCCTTGCCCTTGCAAGGCAGGGAGCGGTGCCAATGAGCTAAATCCCTGGCCCAGCTCTTCAGATTCTTATGGTGGAGATTGATCTTGATCAAATCACTTGCTTTTTTTAAAAAACCATTTTACTGTCGCATATGAAATTCATGGGTGCCTGTCACCAAATGTGCTGGCGTCGCGGCTCCATGTGCGAGAGCTGTCATGAACAAATACATCCAAGGAGGACAAACGCACTTCTGACAGCCACAAATGCCACCCTAGTACAAAATACTTTTTAAAGAAAACCTGAAAAGTAATTTTGATAATCACACTTGAAAAGCATTTTTATATTAAAATCCATACCCAGAATTTAAAAGTATAGAGTATATAGGAAAGGAAATACAAAGCCCTGTCTCCCAATTCAATTCCACATTTCCTCACCCCAGGGGTGCCTTTATTAAGTTTCCTGGGTCTCTTTCCAGAGATCTTTCTGCTTACATGACTACATAAATGGAGTATCAATTATACATTTGAATTCAAATGGTATTACCTTATATACACTGTTCTGTATTTTTCTTTTTTAACTTAAGATTAGGTTCATACATTTAGAACTTTATCTTTTTTAAGTGTTTGTGTCGCATTCCATATACAGATGTACAATTATTATTTATTTTACCTATCACTTAAGTTGTTTCCCTTTTCATTTCTTTGTTCTTCTTTTTACCCTCTCCTTTCATCTTTTCTTCCTTCCTTGCTTGCCATTAAAAATAGCACCACAGGGCCAGGGATTTAGCTCA